ATCAGGTGGAGAAGAAAGAGGGGTTAGCCTCTAAAGGCAAACTGTTTATAAAGGTTGAAAATGGGCGTAGCCCAAGTGTCAGAATGGAGTGGGCGGGGCACAAGGGCGGGGCACCTACAAATTAAGCTATGTCTGTGGCAGCAGTTACATCGGGGAAACTAAGCGACATGTCTCGGACCGTGTTCGTGAACATAAGGCAGATCTGAAACACGGTAGGACCAATACATTGGCCGTGGCTGATCATTGTTTTAATGCGGTTGGCTCACACGAAATGTATTTCTTTAAGACGAAGGTACTTTGCAAACCCACTGGCTATCAACAAAGGTTTGTTCATGATGCCATCCATATATACAGACATAGACACAACTTCAACCGAGAAGATGGGTACAAACTGAGCAATCACTGGAAGGACGTTATCAACCAGTTTAAGTCATAACTGGCTGTAATGTTACCATTTCAGCACTGTCCGTTGCTCACCAGTTTTTTTAACCCCCCCACGTTACATTAACATAACCTTCTCCGCCCTACATGTAGCAGCCCACCGTTTTTAATCCCTGATATTAACATAAGCTCCTCCACCCATGCTGCCCCAGGGCCCTTGTGCCCCACCCACTCCATTCTGACATTTGGGCTACGCCAATTTTAAACCTTTATAAACAGTTTGCCTTTAGAGGCTAACCCCTAAATTTTGATTTAAAGCTTTCGTGACTGCAGTAATTCATATTCTTGGTTCTTTCGGTAAAGTCACGTTGAAGGGAAACAATACAATAATAAAATATATATAACAAAATATATATTTTATTTCTTCCCTTCAACGTGACTTTACCGAAAGAACCAAGAATATAGGCTAACCCCTCTTTCTTCTCCACCTGATGATGACCGCTTCTGTTGCGATCAAAACGTCGTAGTTTTTTTGTTATTTTCGTTGAACCTATCTACGTGACTTTACGGAAAGACCCAAAGAATATTAAGTTAGTAATGTTTGGGGTCCAGGCTTGTCCGGCGGTGAGGGATGAGTGTTGGAAGTTTTAGCCGCTCGGAGCGCCAGGCGGCTAAAGCACAGCAGGTTGGCATATTAGGGGGCACTGGTCGTGCATCTGCCATTCATCTCCGTCAGTTAACCCATGGCTCATGGGGTCTCTCTCGTGACCTGCCAGTGAGCGTTCGACACTTCACATGGCCTTAAAGTGCACATAGCCTGGCACAAGCGCCGCGGTGACATCACCCCCCCCCCCCCGCTAAGTGGCGAATGGCGGTGGCTGTTGAGGGTGGAATCATACTTTTGTTTCAGTTTGGAGGTGATTGCGGTGACGTTGATTATGGTGACAGACGGAGGGCTGTGATAGGTCGGTAGATGGTGGGGAGGCAGAATCACAGGCAATAGGCAGAGCCGCATCAGACACCAGAATGCCATTCCTGATTTCATTTACATTTTCAGAGAATGTGGGGAGGGGGTAAGTTGTGCACACTAGACAGCTGACAGAGTAGTGGAGGGACACAGGAGGGAGGATACAGCGGCTGAAAAATATTCTTGGGTTTCCAGCACCATGGTGTCATCAAATGAAGAGAAAAAGTCTGATTTAGGCCTTGCCAGAACTGACGGATATGCAATTTCAAGCGAGTCTCACAAATCCCGTAGTGGATTTCAAAAAACCGATTTCTTCCATCGTCTCTCAAGTCTATAACCAATTATAATTGTTTCGCTCGTGAAGGGCAGTTGTGGACCACCATCTAAGAAGAGGTACCACGGACAAGACTGATGACGGAATGACAGCCAAAGGCAAACACGAGGAGACGGCGGCACTTGAGAAGACAACCACTGACAGAGCGATGAAATTGGCTTGTGAACAGCCGTGAGTGATATCGCGAGAGCATGTCATGCATGGCCTTCATCCAACCGTGGAATGACAATGGCCAATGATGATTGGCCAACAACAACAGTCCCCTAGACACCCTTTGTATCTCGATGCTATGCGGCACGTGTAATTTTGAAGGGAAAGCTCTGCCATGCAAATGATGTTTGCCTCCCTTACATTCTATTGAGCCAATTTACTTTGACTTGTTCTAAAGTATACTCGGGGTTGATTTGTTATTTATCCCTCGCCTTGATCTGCAGTGCGCCGATGCACTTTGGATTTCTCTTTGACGAGCCTGCATAACATCAAACGCCGATGGTTTCAAACATGTACTATGTATACAAAGACAAAGATCCCCCCGTGTAGCCTTAACAGACTGTAGGGGCAAGTGCTGTTAGCGAGCACCTATAAAGGCCGGCACGGCACACGAGGGGGTGGGTGGCCAGCACCACGCCCGACCGCCTTTGTCTCCCTAGCGGCGATGTTTACACACCGCACCAGGTACTCATTTGAGGCTGAGTCGACCTAGGGGAGGCCCAGGGCCGGTTCAGATAATCGTCAATGGGTTGCCGTGAGCGGGAATCGAACCCGGGTCGCCAGGTTCGTAGTGCAGCGCGCTAACCGCTACACCACCGCTCCCCACTACTATTTATAGACAGGCACACACACAAAAACCCATCTCACGACGGGGAAGTCAACTCGAGTGTAAAACTAGTACTGCGATTGACAAAGTCATCATCTAAGCGTCTTTCTTGCTCTGGTAAGCATTGTACGTCCTAAGCTCGAAGTTGAAATTCTACATTCCCATGGTGGGTAGGTTGTATCTCCACAGAACAACTACCACACAGACATACTGAGCTTGATGATAGGCCGAGACCAGCCATTGTGGCTTAAGACCAACTGACTACTGACCACAGCTCTGCCTGGACAAATACGCTGTACAGCGTGTGAGGATACTGTCAAGGCCATGGGAAATAACGTACACATACACAATTGCGAGCCCTTTGCTATCCACAGCTAAGATGAAACATAAAGATGCACACATATAGTCATGGAAGTTATACAACGACTCCCCGTGTAGCCGTGTATACAATAGTTGTGTTTGCAAGCATCATGAGGGCATGCGTGTGTGTTATGGCTCGCAACTACACCCAATCCACCTTTATCTCCCCAGTATGAAGTCAAACGAGATGAGGCGCGTGACCGGTTCAGACAGCAATTGCAGTCACTGATAGTTACCCACGGCTGGGAATTTAACCCAGGTGACCGGTATCGTAGTCCAGTTTACTAACCTCGGGGACCTCTCTTGCCAGTACCAACATTATGAGATGAGAAGAATAGGCGTTTACCCTTCTCTTGGCAATAACACAGTAGCCGTTAAGATGTTCAAACACCAAATCGACATCGACTGCAAGGCATCAAGTCTGAATTAACCATACATACCTGTGGCAAAACATGCAAATAAACATACAATGATAATATCTGAACACCCGTGTTATTGCCAGACAGGGTAAAAGCCTATTCTTATTATTTCATCAGCTTACTAACCGCTGACCACTGTTCCACCACTCCATACGCACACATACATATACAATGCCGTAACACACGGGGGGCTACTTTATTATGCACACACGCACCGTGCACTGTACACAACCGATTCCTGTTGAAAGTTTAATGTGGTTACACAAATTGCCACTTATCTGGGCATGCATAATACAGGACTAATTGATGCATCGCCGGCCGTGGCAGCCGATGAGTTATAATGCACAGGGATTCCTGTGCTGCAGAACGCATCATCTGCGTGACATCCCGGGCACGTGACACGCGGTGCTAGAACAACGAGGAAAGGGTGCCACGTTTCGGGCGACACGTGGCATTTGTGGCACGCGCGCGCGCGCGCGCACGCTGCGCGTCACTGGCACGTGAGACATTTCACGTGACGCGCGGTTGACGCATGCAACGCCGCGTTCACCGATGTGATTGGAGGCAGGTGTGGGATGTCAAAAATCGACACGTGCCACAACACGAGCGACACAGCAGGGTCACGAATGAGCGTGTGACGTGCGCAAACGATAACTCGAGTGATGATCCCACAGTAGTAAGTCACTGGACATGTTACTGACATGTGCTGTGGATGACGCACCATTACTGACACACGTATGCGTGTCACAACATGTGTGTGTGTGTGGGGGGGGGGGGTGACGAAATGCATGCACGTCACCGACACATGTTGCGTGCGTGTCACGGCATGTGGGCGACGAGACGCAGGCACGCATTCATGCATGTCACAGCATGTGGACGAGACGTATGCACGTCACTGACACATGTCGCACGCGTGTCACAGCATGTGGACAGCAAACGGTATGCATGCCACTGACACATGTCCCATGCATGTCACAGCATGCGGGCGTCGAGACGCATGCACGTCACTAACACATGTCGCATGCATGTGGACAACAAACGGTATGCACGTCACTGACACATGTCCCATGCATGTCACCGCATGTGGAGGACACGTCTGCAGGTCATTAACACATGTCGCATGCATGTCACAACAAACGGGTGACGAGACGCAGACACGTCACTGATAACTGACACACGCATGTGTCAATGACATGTCACTAATACGTGGGGTCACACATTTCACTCACACATGCCTTATCAGTGACGCATGACATGGTGCTTGTCAATGATGTGACAAGTCACTGGTACGTTAATGTCACTGGCACATGAGTAATCAATGACCAGTGACACACATCACTAACACATGTAATGGCACGCGTGTACAACGTTGCATGTAAAGTATACTGAAGTACATTTGCACGCAAGTATTAATTTGTGGCAGGAACCTCTATAGATGTACTACATAAGGTATATTACGTTTGTGTACATTATTTTTGTTATTTATATACTGTTACATGAATGCAAATATGAGTGTGTGCAATTTCTAAGTGTACATGTATGTACCGTGTATATATTTGAATAAAGTGTTGTGGATGCAATGTCATGTACACATCTGGCACGTTCTGTGTGATATGCGCAATGTATACATGCAGTCCATGTGCATCGTGCATGTACGGACTACGTGTAACTGCCATGCACACTATCTGGCACATGCTGGCATCTCGTATGTGTTTGACGTACACCACTCACGGCCTCTGAGTCCTCGAATCCATGCACATACATATCCGGCTTCAATGCAGGGAAGATGTAGTCTTCTCCGTTCAAGCCGTTAAATATATTAATGGCTCTTATTCGCGGTAAATGGGGAAGGGGGTTGTTGAGTTGGGAGGGAGGGGGGGGGGCAGGTGAACGTCAAGCGTAAACAGCTTTGGGTCTCATTGTTGGTCCTATTTACTGGGTACAGAGCGTACGGGGTCCTATGAGACTGGCATATGATCTAGACTTACCCTGCACCAATGGCTCAAACATTAGGCTATGCTCGGGATAAGCAAGTGGTGTTGTACTTTTAGGGTGATACGGTATTTGAAATTTGATTACAATCAGTGTTATATTATTAATAATAATTACATTGATAACTGAGAAAATATTTTCAGTCGCTGTACGTGTATTTATGATTATTTTGAGAATTATACAATATGTATTTTAGTTAAATAACCCGAATTAGGTATTGAAAATAGTGGGTTAGCTTTTTAAAATAAAAACTAATTATTGTACGATAGGTACAACGAAGGGCTTTGTTATATAATAGTTTAATAGGAAAAAAAGGAATGTTTAATTTAATTGTATACTTTTAAAGATACGTACACTACAGCAATGTAAAAAAATAGCATTTTAACATAATTAGATACACAATACCATAACAATGTTACTTTAAAAAAAAAAACGACAACAGTTTGTATATCGCAATTGAACAATTGTAAATAAGATATTTAAACATTAAATAAATAAATACATAATTATTCAGCATTAAAATCCAACGCAATAATAATTTTACTCATAATTCCCAATACAATAACTATTGATTTTAAATCTTCTTTTAAAAAGAAAAATTCTAGTCCTGAGCTCAATATAAATTAACAATAACAAATCCCAGTATAAAGCGAAGACACTTGATGGTTTAAAGAGGTTGCACTGGAGCCAACGATCCCAAGTCTGGCTCCTGCTGACAGCTACATAAGAGCCAATGCACACACCTACCTACCCACTTAACCTACCCACACACCACCACTATGCAACACTATACATAATATACAGACGGCACGATATACAATATCTACATCAGCCGGTGTACGTCGAGACCATCACAACAGAGCACAAGGGCAGCTCGCTAGCTATGCAAAGCGCTACGCCTAAGCAGCCTGCCGCCTGCTATTGTATGGTAAGGGCTCTTCCCCTCTCTCGCTCGCTCTCTCTCTGTGCGAGGATGACAAGAGGATGATGCTTGCTGCTGCTGCTGCATGCCGTGTGGGTGGAGGCCTGTGGGTGGGTGTAGCCACCGCGTATGGGCGGGTGACGTACACGGGGGTAGTGGGCAGGGAGCCTCTGGCTTCAAGGAGTTTACTCGGCAGTAGGATTCGGGAGGAGTCACTGAGTAAGGCTCATCATCAGCATCATCATCGGGTGCAGCGTCGTCGTCTTCGTCGGCGTCTCAATACCACCACACACACCCCCACCCACGCTCTCAACCAGATTTAAAAAAATATCGGCAACGAGTTTTTTTTTTAAATATATATACTCTTTGGTTTTATTCGGTAAAGTCACGTAGGTACAAAATAAATAAAAACAATTTAATTAAATCACGACGTTTCGGGCCCCACACAAGCGTCCATCATCAGGTGGGGACAACCACAGCGAAGACAGTTGTTGCTGTGTTTGTCCCATCCGGTGACGGACGCTTGTGTTGCGTCCGAAACGTCGTGATTTAATTATGTTGTTTTCATTTTATTTTTTGCCTACGTGACTTTACCGAATAAAACCAAAGAGTATATGGATTCTTGCAGTCACAATAACTTCATATCTAGAGTTTTTGGTATTGTATTGAAGCGCGCGCGTGTGTGTGAGTATGTGAGTTTGTGAGTATGTGTGTGAGTATGTGAGTGTGTGAGTATGTGAGTGAGTATGTGAGTGTGTGAGTATGTGAGTATGTGAGTGTGTGAGTATGTGAGTATGTGTGTGAGTATGTGAGTGAGTATGTGAGTGTGTATGTGCGTGTGAGTATGTGAGTGTGTGAGTGTGTGTGAGTATGTGAGTGTGTGAGTATGTGTGTGAGTATGTGAGTGTGTGAGTATGTGAGTGAGTATGTGAGTGTGTGAGTATGTGAGTATGTGAGTGTGTGAGTATGTGTGTGAGTATATGTGTGTGAGTATGTGAGTGAGTATGTGAGTGTGTATGTGCGTGTGAGTATGTGAGTGTGTGAGTGTGTGTGAGTATGTGAGTGTGTGAGTATGTGTGTGAGTATGCGCTATGAACCTGGCACCCGGGTTCGATTCCCGCTCACAGCCAACACCAGTGACGATTATCTGAACCGGTCCCGGGCCTCCCCTAGGTCGACTCAGCCTCAAATGAGTACCTGGTGCGGTGTGTAAACATCGCGACTAGGGAGACAAAGGCGGTCGGGCGTGGTGCTGGCCACCCACCCCCTCGTGTACCGTTCCGGCCTTCATAGGTGCTCGCTAACAGCACTTGCCCCTACAGTCTGTTAAGGCTATATGGGGGATCTTTGTCTTTGTGTGAGTGTGTGAGTGTGTGAGTATGTGAGTGAGTGTGTGAGTGTGTGAATGTGTGAGAGTATGTGTGTGAGTATGTGAGTATGTGAGTGTGTGCGTATGTGAGTATGTGAGTGTGTGGGTGTGTGGGTGTGTGAGTATGTGGGTGTGTGAGTATGTGAGTGTGTGAGTATGTGAGTGTGTGAGTATGTGTGTGAGTATGTGTGTGAGTATGTGAGTGTGTGAGTATGTGAGTGTGTGAGTATGTGAGTGTGTGAGTATGTGAGTATGTGAGTGTGTGAGTGTGTGAGTATGTGAGTGTGTGAGTATGTGAGTGTGTGAGTATGTGAGTATGTGAGTGTGTGAGTGTATGAGTATGTGAGTGTGTGAGTGTGTGAGTATGTGAGTATGTGAGTGTGTGAGTATATGAGTGTGTGAGTATGTGTGTGAGTATGTGAGTGTGTGAGTATGTGAGTGTGTGAGTGTGTGAGTATGTGAGTATGTGAGTGAGTATGTGAGTATGTGTGTGAGTGTGTGAGTATGTGAGTATGTGAGTGAGTATGTGAGTATGTGAGTGAGTATGTGAGTATGTGAGTGAATATGTGAGTATGTGTGTGAGTATGTGAGTGTGTGAGTGTGTGAGTATGTGAGTGTGTGAGTGTGTGTGTGAGTGTGTGAGTATGTGAGTGTGTGAGTATGTGAGTGTGTGAGTGTGTGCGTATGTGAGTATGTGAGTGTGTGAGTGTGTGAGTATGTGAGTATGTGAGTGAGTATGTGAGTGTGTGAGTGTGTGAGTATGTGAGTATGTGAGTGTGTGAGTGTGTGTGTGAGTATGTGAGTGTGTGAGTGTGTGAGTATGTGAGTGTGTGAGTGTGTGAGTATGTGAGTGTGTGAGTGTGTGAGTATGTGAGTATGTGAGTGTGTGAGTATGTGAGTATGTGAGTGTGTGAGTATGTGAGTGTGTGAGTGTGTGAGTATGTGAGTGTGTGTGTGAGTATGTGAGTGTGTGTGTGAGTATGTGAGTATGTGAGTGTGTGTGTGAGTATGTGAGTATGTGAGTGTGTGAGTGTGTGTGTGAGTATGTGAGTGTGTGAGTATGTGAGTATGTGAGTGTGTGAGTATGTGAGTGTGAGTATGTGAGTGTGTGAGTATGTGAGTGTGTGAGTGTGTGAGTATGTGAGTGTGTGAGTATGTGAGTGTGTGAGTGAGTATGTGAGTGTGTGAGTGTGTGAGTGTGTGAGTATGTGAGTGTGTGTGTGAGTATGTGAGTGTGTGTGTGAGTATGTGAGTGTGTGAGTGTGTGAGTGTGTGTGTGAGTATGTGAGTGTGTGAGTGAGTATGTGAGTATGTGAGTGTGTGAGTATGTGAGTGTGTGTGTGAGTGTGTGAGTATGTGAGTGTGTGTGTGAGTATGTGAGTGTGTGAGTGTGTGTGTGAGTATGTGAGTGTGTGAGTGAGTATGTGAGTGTGTGAGTATGTGTGTGTGTGAGTGTGTGAGTATGTATGTGAGTATGTGAGTGTGTGAGTATGTGAGTGTGTGTGTGAGTGAGTGTGTGAGTATGTGAGTGAGTATGTGAGTATGTGAGTGTGTGAGTATGTGTGTGAGTGTGTTTGATTCCTGAACAGGCTGAGTACCTGTTGACTTAACAGCGGCCTCGATTTTATCACGCAAATATTTGACATTGTCGATGATGCCAAAAAAAACCCACGATGTACTGTATTAGTTATTTTAATGCGCGAAACAAATGTAACTTGAGGATGCAATGAAAAGCAATGTATTAAGTATGTTGTGACGTTATTAAGATAGCAGCAATGTTGCCATACACAATCCGAGCGCTATATCGTACGTGCTTGTTTTTGTTTACAGCACGCTTATAGCACGGGAACGCCGTCAAGATCAAGCATTTGATGGAAGTTTTCAATAAACGATACAACGGAAGTACGTGAATAGTATTACAAGACCATCAATCAGTTCGTGGTGTGTATGCAGGTGCTCTCTGGTGGGTGTGTAGCATGATCGGATCAGTGAGTGGTAGCGGTGAAGGGTACTCATCCAGCAGTGGATTGCCCATGGCTGATGGTGGTGCGAAAACACCGCTGGGCTGTGTGGGGAGCACTTGTTTTATATCACACGAAGCATACAAATTATTCAATAATGATAACTCAAATACAATCCTGTACATGTGGGTCGTGCTAATGATTTGGCGATGCTAGTGCTTGCTGCTTCGGCAGCGATGCACAACAAGTACGCAAAAGGAATCTATATTATTGGCGACGTTTCGGACAGCGCCCCTTCTTCACAGCACGTGAATGAATAAATGGGTGGGGGTGGAGCCTACAACGTTGTGGGTGGAGCCTGGATTCGGATTGACAGGAGACGGACGACGACGATTGGTGGCGCCAGAGATGTATTGTGACCGGGCTCTGGGAGGAACCAAGTCTTCACGTGGGCGGGGGGGGCTTCTTATGAGACCCTCCCAACAGGACGCGTGTGGCCAAATAAGGCATTGCTGTGCAGTGATGTCATGGGTGATGTTCCAGCAACGCCTTCACTGCTGCCTGCCTTGCCATTCATTCACTCATTCACTTCAATTCCTTTATTTAACCTCAGATGAGAGCCCCCGCCGCCCCGAGCACAGTCCTGAGATCCGCTACCTCCTTCATTGTTGCAGGGAGACCCGGGGTAAAATGCAAGGCAGCACATATATTGATGTTTCGCGATGCAAACGTTCAAAAAGAATGGTGCACTGGAATTGCAGATATATGTAATTTACTGCAGTCGAGAAGAGTGAATTTCATTCAACAAAAATATAGAAATCAGTATTCCGTTACATTTGTAACATTTGTAAATATCCGTAAATAATACCTGCATTCTGGTTAAAATAATACATCCAAACATGACCTATTTTTTAGGGATAATAAATAAAAATAAAGGACTGCATTGGCAGTGACGTACGAGCACAAAATATATATTTAAAAACACGTTGCCACCTTTATCATGAACACCGTATTATAACAGAAACATCAATTATAATCTCAAACTTGAAGGGGTGATGGACGATGGTCAAGAATAAGAATAATGACCTCGCCTGGTATACAGGAGGCCGTGGGTTCGACTCCGCACCATGACGCCTGCTGCTGTATATTTCGAGTTGGCATGTTTAACCTCTCCGTGGTCGCTTGGATTTTTCTCTGGTTATTCTCTCCGCATTTAGGCTCAACATGCGTTTAGGGTATTCGGCTGCTATCCATTTCCACACGATAAGCCACTTCCTTGAGCTATCATGTGTGGCCAGGTTGCTTCTGAAAATGAGCTGTATAGCTCAGTGGGCCTTACCTGGTAAAATGCATATAAAATGTTTCCAGTTATTTTTTTTTAGGAATGGCAACCAGAGAATGAAACCCATCTGAGAGCACATCCACCAAGGAGAAGGAGCAATGAAATAAGATTGTAGGTGCGGGATGGATTCATTATTACATCGCAGGATCGTGTGAGGTGGCATCAGCTATGGGATACCTTCATCCAGCAGTGGATTGACCCATGGGATACCTTCATGCCTTAAACACTTGTTCAGCACAGAGTGTGATGCAGCAGTAGCCTGAAATACAGCGCGTCGATTGCTTGGCAATTATAATGGAATAACACTCTTGGCTGAAACGCCTGAGTTCTAAAATTATCTGATAACAGTAATCAGTGTATTAAATATTCCAACAAGATATCACCAGCTATTATCTCTCTTATCGCAACTACCATTGT